CAGGGGAGTTGTTGCAGCTGATAAAACTTAAGAGTGCTCCTGATGTCAGGTTTGACCTAGAAACCACTACACATAGCCCAAGCAAAAGTCTCTGTTCTGTAACTAATGCCCAACTGCAATGATAAGGAGAAGACAGTCTTAGATAAAGGAGGCTTGAAAACAAAAACAGAATTAGTGGACTAGGGCAAAGAACTGATTTAAATATTAAGATTCACACCCCTAGGTGGGGAGAAAGTATGCTAATGAAACATACATGTATGGAAATGAGATACATAGCTAAAACACAGGTATAGAGACATGCTCAGTAAAGAACTCCTTGCGTCACTCCCTTATAACCAATTAGCAAACAAGAATGCTTATGAAGGTCCAATACTCCTGTATAAAAGATGCTTAGAATTAAGGATCTGTGTGCTTGTTACGTGAAATTATTCCGCTTGCACCTTGTATTGCTAGCAATAAATCTTTATACTTTCACCCCTGGTATCTTTATTGGCTTTTGCATACTGGGCACGATCCCAGACTTGAGCTGGGGCTCAACACTGAGACTGAGTACTTCCTTCTTCTAATCAGACCAGCACCTGGCAATCAAAGGCTATGGACACACAATCTTTTTACATCAACAACATTCCTGAGTAGTGCTACAAAAGTGAAGCACTGGTGGGTGGAGGGGCACAGGGTGTCTTACCTAAATGCACAGCCCTCTGGCTGGAGCACTACTTAAAGGCACATTCTTCTGTAAAGCTTTAACACACAAAATAATGTCGGGGGGGGGGGGGGGGAGGTAGAGGAGGAGAGGGCAAAAGCTGCTCTTTTGCTTCCCCTGCCCCTATGGAGCCTATTAGTGAGGCTGCCTCCACCCCTCTCTGCCACTACTGCAGCCACTATGGGTACATCTGCTGTTGCTGGTGCCCTCATGGTACTTGTGGTGGCAGTGGGGTCCCATCAGGGCTCCATGATAACTCACAAAACTTGTTGGCCTTTATAGGAGCCAGCTTTTCTCCCTACCATCCCTTTTCAGTGGCAGCAGGGCAGGGGGAAGAAAAGCAGAGGACTGGGATGCTGAGGATCTGAGAACCCTGTAATGCTACATGTAATTGTCCATGCATTATATGCAGTGCCAGGAAGTGTAGCACTACAGAGACGTTCCTCTTTGAAAGAAGCACATTTTTATGCTGAATCTGCCATTTTTGTGGTTCTACAATGGCACAACCATGTGGATGTTAGTGTTTATAGTGCTATAAATGTAGTGTGTGTCCATAGCCCAAAAATCAGGGACTTAGCAATTAGATTTACAAACACCTGTGTACTTTCATATCTCGCTTTTAATATGGACTATATCCTAGGCAGCCAAACTGAGGCAACCAAGGTGTTAATGAAGTATCTATGAAAGTGTTTTTTTCATAGGTTTCTTAGATTTCTAGAGTTGGAAGGGACCTGGTAGATCATCGGGTCTGACCCCCTGCTCCAGGCAGGAAAGACCGCTGGGGTTAAGTGACCCGAAAGAGTGCTGGGGTCAGGTACCCCCAGCCAGATGCTTATCTAATCTCCTCTATAAACACCTATAGGTTAGGGGAGAGCACCAGATCTATTTCTAAATATGTTCTCCTATTTTATACATGGAGAACCAAGAAACAGAGAAATCAGCATGGAACTGAAAAAAGGTCTCCAAATCATATGGCTAGCCTGTCCCTCCAACAAGACTTTGCTAAGAAAGGATGATTTGTTGTATCCCCTGCAGAATCCACAACCATCCTAGTTTAGCCAAAATATCTCTGTTTATTTATTTTTTAGATATGAATCCATGGGATTTGTCATTCAGTCAAAAGTCTGGTGTAGTTGGATGAGGCAGTAGGACTCTAAGGAGACACCATAGTTTCTCTTTCAGAGTTTCCTGTGAGATGCATCTCTGCTGTTCCTCCTGTTGGATATGAGCCAGGAAGAAATTGGTGGTGGTGAAGGACAGAACACATCAGAAGAGCAGCCAGTTGAATGCAAGGTTGGAATTTAAAGACTGGACCCAAGGAGCTTTCTATAAACCAACTATCTACCTTTTTTCAAGCCCTTAACCAACACAACATATATCAGTCTTCAAACTCCACCAGGTTTCACAATGTGTTCACATGGGCTGTGAGAAATTTCACCCAGCATTTCATTTCAAAGCTGTTTCAATGCATTTTGAGCTCAAAACAGCAAAATCAAAATGAAACAAAAGCCTTCATAACAGCTTTGAAATGAAACAAGGGAACTTAAAATGTTTCAAAAGTTTCAAGTTTCGAAGCCAGGCTTACTGGCTTCAGTGCCGGTCCCAGCCAGCAGCACCCACCTGTCATCCAGCAGGCAGATTGGGGGCCCACTGTCACCTCTAGGAGGGCTGTAGGAGCTGTACCAGAGTCCTCCCAGGGCTGTGGGCCCCTGATCTGCCTGCCAGATAACAGACCAGAGCTAGGATAATTGGTGCTGCCACTGGCCCCAGGTGGTAGCACCCTGCCCCTGTCACCTGGCAGGCAGACTGGGGTACATGCACCCCCAGGAGGACTCTGGCACAGCTCCTACAGCCCTCCCGGAGGTGACATCTGCCTGCTGGCTGACAAGAACTGAGTACTGCTGCCTGGGGTCAGCAGGCCAGTGACAGGGGCAGATCATCTCGGGCATGGACTGGGGTGGAGGAGGGTCTCTGCACCAGCTGATCTGCCCTGGGCCCCCACCTGGCCGGCTCCAGTAGAAGGCAGGGCAGATCAGCGGGAGTGGGGACCCGCCACCCCGATCCCTGGGCAGGGCAGCATCCCCACAGCAGCTGATCTGCCCCAGGCCCCCACCTGGCTGGCTCTGGTAATGATCTCTGGTAGTGGGGGCCCAGGGCAGATTAACTGATGTGGGAACGCTCCCCTGCCTGGGGATCAGAGCAGCGGGTCCCTGTGCCACCTGATCTGCCCTGCCTGCTACTGAAGCCAGCCAGGTGTGGGCCTGGGGCAGATCAGCTGGTGCGGGATTGCTCCACCACCCAGGGATCAAGGTGGCACTGGGTGCGGGTTGATCCCATGCCGATCTGTCATCTAGTAAGCAGACTGGGGGCCAGCACCCCCGGGGAGGACTCCAGCACAGCCCCCACAGCCCTTCCAGGGGTGCGGGTGAGCCCCTGATCTGCCTGCCAGATGAGAGGAGCTGGGTGCTGCCACCTGGGACTGGTGCCAGCAGTGATCTTCCCTGCTCTGGTCCTAGGCAGCAGCACTCAGCTTCTCTCATCTGGCAGGCAGATAGGGGGTGCACACCCCCGGGAGGACTCAGACACAGACCTGGCAGCCCTCACATTGGTGCGGGGGAGCCCCTGATCTCCCTGCCTGCTGCATTTTATGTTTCCCCATAATAACCTATCAGCAAAACATCAAAACAGCGTCAAAACAGCAAACCAGTTTCGGCCAATGAAATGGAACAATGCTTTTGAAATGAAACAAAACTTGAAATGAAACACCGTTCCATTGAATCATTGAAACAGAAGTTGAATTGGAATGATGCTGTTTTGCACAGCCCTAGTGTTCACCACTAATTTGCCAGCTGGAATTTGATAGGGACAAAACAACATTACTAGGTGATTCTAGTTTCCCATTTCCTATTCAGGGAATTTACTTCCAACATATTCTAACAAAAATACAGTGCACCTCTCCATAAGAAATACATAATACAAATGTTTGGCAAATAATATAGATAATATAGTCAAAACATGCACTTCAAATATCATTTCCCGCTTGGTGCAAGGGGCTGGACCTGATGACCTTCCAAGTTCCCTTGCAGCCTTACAATCTATGAATCTATGTATTCAGTAGACTGTATATAAAAAAGGAAGTCAATCATAAAGAGAACCTGACACACTCATAATCATTGACACTAAAATGTTTAAACCTCACAACTTATTACAGAACAGGACTGTATTCAGTTTGGGATTTTTCCTATGCTTTGAAATTGTGCTTGAAAGTGTGTTTAACTGATATTGTGTTGCCCTGTTATCTGGATTCCACTGTAATACAATATATAAATATTTTTCTATAATCGACATTGTTTCTTGCCAGATGCAAATACATGTGAACACATCATTTTCCAGATTATTTTACTGAAATAAAAAATAATAGCATGGTACGGTTATTTACTGGAGATATATTATCAAGTCATTTTAAGAATGATTCCAGAGATTTTTTTAACAAGACAATTATCTGTTTCTGGACTAATGGTAATCTAACTTGCTTTATAGGCACCTTAGAAGGACCATTTATTTTTAAAGGCTAACACTTAAAATCTTAGGGCCTGTGGTCTTTTATAGGGTAATTGATTTAATGTGGTGCTTTTAAGAATTCAGCATCTTTGGTATTTTTAAAGAGGCAATATTGATTTTATTTGACTCTTTAAGACATCATTATCTTAAAATGGAAAGTTTAGGATAGATATTAAGGGAAGTTTAGGCTAGATACTAGGAAAATTGTTCTCACTAGGAGGGTAGTAAAGCACTGAAACAGGTTACCCAGAGAGGTTGTGGACTGTCCATCCTTGGAGGTTTTTAAGATCGGCTAGACAGGGCCTTGGGCTCAGATGATATGGTTGGAACTGGTCCTGCTTTGAGCAGGGGATTGGACTAGATCAGTATTTCTCAATCCATGGGTCGCAAGCCAAAAGTAGGTTGCAAGAATATATGAAAGGGTTGTGAACAAACTTTCAAAAGTTGCTGGCCATGGGGCCTGCTGGCCCTATGGCATTTCCCACTCCCTCCCATGCCCAGGCCCCAGGACAACTGTGAACCCATCAGCCAGGCCCAGGGCACTGGCTGCAGGAGGCTCTGGCTGACCTCCTGCTCCTGCGCTTCCCACACCAGCCCACTTGTCCCACTGTCCCCCCGACCCCCAGCAGCACTCCAGGACACACATGTAGGTCAAACAGTACAAACTTTATTAACAGAACAACCCCCCC